GGAGTAAAGAGGAGGACCTTGTCATCTTTCTGCTCTAGTTGCTTTAGTACCCGAGGGATAGGAGGAAACGGCGGGAAGGTGTAAACAAGCAGCCCGTTCGTCTCCATCACCAATGTGTTCGTCTGCCACGTGCAGGGGTCAGGAACCCTCGTGCAGTACACTGGAAAAATGTGATTAATCCGTGTAACAAGCAGATTGACATGGTTAGTGGTTTAGCAGCTACCAATGTCAAGCGGATCCATCCCCATAAGGAGGACGTTAGAAGCGACGTTCTTCTTGTTTGGGAGGGAAATAGTCAAAAGCACGAAACTGCCATGACAATTAGTGAAGGCTGTGATCTGTGAGGCACACCCCTGTGAGGTTGGCAGCGTTGAACCCTCACTGGAGGCGCTGCACAAGTCAGGGCATGACCTGCATTGGATGCAGCGATGACTGTGCCGACACAAGGAAAATAGGTGAATGTTACCACTCTCCATTTCCGCAGCGCAGCCTAAACACCTTTACTATCTGAGCAGATACCAGGAGTGAGGCGAAGAGGCTGAACGGGACCACCATGAATTTTGCAGCGGGAATCTTTGTTCGAAACCACAAAATTCCCAATGCTATGGCCTGATAGGAAAGTTGCTGTTGTGTACCCTTCAGGTCGATCAGGGCTGGTCCCCCATGATGACATGTATGAGAGTTGACTAAATCTCATTAACATCTCCCCCAGGGAAAAACGGGACGGGCGCAACCCTGTGTTGGCCCGATGGAATTGATGTCAGTCTCAAAGTCTCTATGACGAGCTCACACGAAACAGACCAGTGGAGGTCGTCATGAGTCAGGTTAAGTCACCTATGGTATTCACCAAAACAACTGAAGCCGAATCGAAGTCGTTGTTACCAGTGACGGCCCTAGCCTATGTAGCGTGGCACGCAGAAGATGTTGATAGTGCGGCCACACAACATCACCATGGCAAAATTTCAAGAGGTAAGCAGCTGAGAAAACAAGTAACAGTTTGTTCATCACCTGTGCTGGCCTGACCTCTGGTTTGACGGCTTTCTGAGATCAACCATCTAAGCAGCCATCATTGACCAATACGGATGGAAAAATCAATATCCCCCGCAAAAATACTTTTGTCCGTTACAAGTGGGACTCAAATCTTTGGCGGGCGACCTTCGACGGGAGAAACAGCTCATCAAGCATGTTACCCCGGTGGGTCGAGGTCGTTGGGGTCTGCACTCGTGTAAACTAATAGAGTACTGAGTGTAGACTGTGCACTTGACAGTGACAATACCTAGCGTACTTAATACTGCAAAGTGTATTCAAGCTTGCCAAGTATTATCTACAAAGGGGCGCTTGAATGATGTGGTCCCTCTACTGCTGACAGCTTGTCCTTAGCTGCATTGGAGAGGGAAGGTGTGATAACAAAATTACCGAAATTTGCTAACAGAAAACGGTAATTGTCACATTCTTGCTTGAAGATCAACAGGCATTTTGGATGCAGGCACAATCTTGCAAATGTGGTCCACACATGCCTAATCTACGGAAGCATCACAACAACCAGTCGTTGAGGTTATGTTCAGGCTGGAGATCATTGTGAAGGGCAGCTGCCATCGGATGAACCATCCTAATGCAAGGGCCATATTGACTCCGTAAACAAGAACCGCCTATTACATCTGGAGGAAAAAGTTGTACAGGGCCACAGAAGAAAAAGAAAATCAAAAACTTGGAACTTAACCTTCTCCCTGTTACATGTATAAGCACGATGTTGTATTAACAGTGCTTTTCTTATCAGGGTTCGACTGTACATGCACATGCACACTGTGCCATGTACATGTACATGTAAAAAACTGCAGTGATTTCAGACTTTCAGTGCAGGCAGAAACACCGACGCACACAACATGTGCGGCGTGTCCCTTTGTCCCCAAGTCACCCAACCGTGACTAATGTAGAGGGCTATAGAGCATGGCTTGCAACTCAGACGGGCCGTTTCATCAACGGTGCCCGCCAGACAATAGGCGCATAGAGCCGACAATGAACTCGGCAATGTTAGCCGAGAACAATTGTAAGGCTTGTAATGAGTGGACCCAAACAACCGTGTCCTCATCCCGGCTGTGTTTGCCGAGGTGGGATCGGTGCAAAAAATCGCCCGAATTTGATCGAATAATAAGGAGAACAAATCGGGTGCAAAAATCGCCCGAATGTGATCAGAAAATAAGGCGATAGCAATCCTATTGCCGCATGAGAAATGGACGCCGTTTGTCCATTGACATAATGATGTCGATGTCCATGTATTCCACACACACTTGATCCAAAGGAAGTTTGGGGAACACTTCGTCATTGTTAGATGTGAAGCCCGTCCCGCGCTTCAAAGATTTAAATTTATGATCAGGCGGAGGGGCTCATCGGCGGAGGGTAATGTACCCGTATCATGTCCTTCTACACAAAACGGTCTTCTGTTTCTGTGATGGACAGCCGCTGTAATTGGTCTGGTTCTTCGTCATCATCGGCTGAGTCAGCCGATTGCGAAGATCGAGTTAACTCCGGTGAACGAGAGCCGTCTGGAGGGGCCAGTTGTACAGAACCACGCGGCGGTGGCTGGACAACTCCCTCGGAGTAAACAGACTCCGGCTCCGCGTTGCTCATATAGCATACCCGACCAACGCCTCAAGCCCCGTTGGCCGAGCGAGCGCTGGCCGTTCCAACAGCCTGTGAAATAGCCCGTCCCGGCAACCAGTGGTACTTGGCACTGTGTTGGGAGGGCACGGGTGACTAGAGCCCACTGAAGCGTGGCGGCTATTCTCCTCGGGCTGCCCCGTGCTCGGGGAAGTGCCGGGGTATAGCGTAGCTCATATCGTACCCGGTTGACTACGTCTCAGGCCTCGTGGGCCGAGAGAGCGCTAGTCGGTCCGATAGCCCGTGCAATAGCCCGTCCCGGCACCCAGTGGAACTCGCACTGTGTCGGGAGGGCATGGGTGACTGCAGCCCACTGAAGCGTGGTGGCTAGTCCCCTCGGGCTGCCCCGTGTTCAGGGGAGGGCCGGGGTCTATAGCGGCGCTCGTATCCGAGCCACACTTGCCCTGTCGGCCCTTTTTAGGCTTCGCTCCGGCACAGGAGATATGTTTTGGATGAACCTTGCCGGAGCGTGCCTTTTGTTTGGGTGTTCCGCTTGAATTGACCGGAGAAGGAGACCGAGGTCCCTGTAACTGGTCAACGGAACTGCCAACGCCCCCAGTGGTTGAGGGTGCTGGACGAGGGACTTCGGCCCGTGGTAACGACGGAGCATTACCGGCAGATTCCCTCGAGAACTCGGTCCGTCCCGTGAGAGAGGAATTCCCCCCGGTATGTGACAAATCGGTTCTCCCCAAACGCTTCATACTAATTGAATAAATACAAATTGTTGTTATATAAACTCTTTTAATAAATAAACTTCTCTTAGGCGAAAAAAGGGTAGCAAAATGAAGAGGAAAACAGGAGCTTGTTTTACACACGTCCTACCCGACTTGCCGCTAAGAGAAAAGAGGACGCTCACGAGGCACGCACGCCACGGGGCATTATGGGTAGGACACCAGAGGGCACTATTGTATAAAACTCTTAGCGGAAAATACCTGCCGGTCTAGGGAATATGCAAAAGTAGTAATTGCTCTACAGGTAAGTAGAGTGAAGTAGACCACGCATTTTCTTCGACTTCCTGTACTGCGGTTGGCAAAGTGTCGAGTGAAAAGTGGTTTTGCACAGCCCGTGATCGCTGCATGCATCGGTGTTGAAAAAGGGTGTCCTACTGCATACATCACGTATGCATCGTGAGTATTTCAATACCAGTACCCCCTCTATGCTGTACTCATGCACTCTGTCCATTTTGGGGGTCGTCTTATTGAATGACTAGTGCTGCAGTCAGTGCGTGGTATATACCGGACCACGCTCGCATTTAATTTGTTACTGTGCACGTACATATCATATATGTACGTGCACAGTATCACAAATTGTATCACGTTTGGGGTACATATGATATGTACCCCAACCGTGATACAATTCGAGGATTAATTTGCTGGATTCAACTCAAGCATTAAGGAGACAATCCAGGGTAAATCGAAGCCAATTAGTGCAATGAATCATGTGTGCAAAAGGCCATTCATGTAAGTCGGCAAAACGATGACTTACAGCAGATATCGGCATTCGCGTAAGTCGTCACAAATTTTCAGGTCCCGAGAGTGCTGACTTAGCCAGAGTTTACTGTATATATTTTTTTTGCTAATCCACGCAAGTGCTGGAAATGGATAAGCCTAATACACCTGTCACACTATTGTATCTGTTGTCATCACATTCCACACATGCCCACTCCATCCAAAAGCACCCAATTCCAGTTACTCCCATATGCAACTTAACAGTCCTAGTATGTAACTAGTAATTTAGCAAGGTTCTTCTAAGGTTTCATGAACAACAATTTAGTTGTCAACTAAATAGACCACTAGTAGACCACTAGGCATTTTAGTATCCTATTAAGGCCTAGTTGGCTGCTAAGTTAATCAGTTTTCATGAATATGACCGCAGTCTCTTTTTACATGCAGTATGTAAGGCCCGCTGTTGCAATTTCGCACAATTTATCAATGGATATTTGCAGTCAAGTTTCTTACGACCTTGTACACATGTATGTAAAATGTTAAATCCCCCTCCACTGCATCAAAGGCATGACAATACGGGAATAAATGTGTGCTTGGCTCGGGTAATTACCAGGAATTGGTAAAAACTGTCTTAGGTACCGGGTATAAATTAATGAATCTCTGTTTAAGGTTGGGTAAAAGCTAGTATTGCAGGTTAGAGAACACCGCAAGGTGTTTCCTATGGTGACATTCTCCTACACATTTTAATTCTGGTCATCTGATTCAAAGAGAAATATGTTTACACTGTAATTATTATACAACGTTAATTCTAAAAACAATTAATGAGCTGTACAATTTTTATTATGCAAGTTATTCTCTCTATATGGCATGGCTTGTTAATATGACATTGAATTCTACCTTGAGTTTCCTTGGCTTTGGGACTGGCCTGTTAACAGCTGATCCATTTGACTGTGAGGTGTTGTGAATAGGTCTATCACTTTGCTGTTTCCATGATTGTAATGAAGAGCGTTCAGATGGGACAGGTTTCATTACTCCTGATGACTTAGTTGCAGCAGCTAGTTGTTGCCCTTCTCGTTGTTTAGGAGTGAGAGGAGCCTTCCTCTTCTGGCGAGATTTAGCAGGAGACACACTGCATTCACTGTATGTAGCTGGATGTGCTAAGATGGCAGTAGTAGTCTTAGAGGTGGAAGGGGCAGTACAAGTATGGGAACGATTCCTTTGAAGCTGATCCACAAGTTCATGTCTGGTGTCACGCATATTCATCCTCTGCTGTACAATCTGTCAAGTAAAATCAAGTACAAGTTGTATTTTTAAGCATATGCCTGTTCAAAGATTACATTGATATGTAGGCTTTCAAGTATCAAATAATGGCTCATTCTTAATCTGAAATACGGAAGGGCCATGAGAAATAAAAAAAGGAAATAGAGTTCCTATCTTGCCGTGGCAAGTTTCCATCTTCGCCGTGGCGAGTTCCTATCTTTGCGGCAGCAAGTTACCAATTGCTGAAGCGAATTACTACTCGCCACCGCGAGTTACTATATTGCCGCGGGAAATTCTTATCTTAATTCCTTGTCATGGCGATAAAGTAAGTTGGTGTGCCAAGATAATAACTTGCCGCAGTGAGTAAGTAAGTCGCTGAGGGGAGATTGTAACTCTTGGCATTGAGATTTAACTTGCTGTGGTAAGTTAGATACGAACTCCATTTTAAAAAAAATCTCTTGGCCCTTCTACGCTTCCGTACTGAAAACACCTGACATGAAAAAAAAAAAAAAGTCATTTTAGTTCAAAAACATTATCATCTTCTATTATTCTTGTATCATAAAAAAAAAAATCAACTGTGTTCACTGTGACCTGATAAAGAGACACTAAAGACGCGTCAATGTTAAAACAAAATGAATTTGATTTCATTATATCAAAAAACAAGCAATTTAAGGTCAAATTTGACTAAATCTTTTGAACTACACATGTATAATTTTGAAGAGAATTGAGTACCATTTCTTGGAGGTGGAAGATATTGCCTTGAGCAACTATTTGACCTATTTTGTGACAGGTTACCAGAAGTATGAAAAGTTTGAATACAGAAGTACCGACCGGTATTTTCCTACAATTTCGTTACGGACACAATAACTGAACTGGAACAACATGCAGCCAGCGCATTTTTCCCTTTAAACAAATACCCCAAATCTGAAGGGATTTGGTAGTCCACGAGGGGCCGATACTTACCTGCTAATTCCTACATATGCATTATTCCTTATAGGCCGCAGGCCATACCCGCTAGATTTTACGTCTACCACAGCGCCCTCTGGGCCAATACCCGATACCCATGATGCCAAGCAGCATATCGTCCTCTTTTCTGAAAGCGTAAAGTCAAAAAATCCCACGCCCAACGTGGGGTAGGAGGGAGGGAGAATTAGCAGGTAAGTATCGGCCCCTCGTGGACTACCAAATCCCTTCAGATTTGGGGTAGTCCACTTCGGGCCCTCTCTTACCTGCTAATTCCTACATATGCATAGATTAGCACTGTAAGGAGGAGGGTATAGGCAAGATTTTCATAGGGACCTCAAAATAGCAGTGAAAAAACACCGAAAGTATCGGCCCATCGTGCACACCATTAGAAACCTGTACATGTAAACTGATATGCGAATACAATGTAAGTGACATGGTAACTCACCGAAAAAGAAGGGGGTTACTGTCTGATAGGGATCGTCCCATCACTCCGGCGTCTCCCTTGGCCGGTCGGGTCTACCCTATCATCATGGTCTTTCTCGTAAGTCGAGGGCATCGAAGTTGTGATGACCACATGGCCCATCTGCCCCTCAGTCTGCAAGACATCTTTGAGGTAGCATGAGACAAAAGTGGAAGCTGTCTTCCAGGCCGCTGCTTGCAATATCTCGTGCATGGGAACCCCTTTGAGAAAGGCCCAAGACGTTGCAGTAGCCCGAGTTTCATGGGCATGTACCGGCCCCATTGATTTAGTTGGCCAGTCTGAGATAGACGTTTGAATGGCCCTAACCACCCAACGAGAAATAGTATCCCGGGTAGTTGATCTGTGAGGCGATGTAGTTGTAATAAACAGCTGGCAAATGGAACCTCGGAGAGGTTTAGTGCGAGCAAGGTACTATTTAAGCGCCCGAACAGGGCACCAAAACTTGTCTTCCACAACTGCCGAGACAGTCTTTATCTGCGGAACAAAGATGTCCGGGGGGGGGGGGGGGGGGGGGGAACGAGGCTGACTGGTTTTTGGTCAGGAAACCTTGGCTAGGTATCAGTCGGACACCTGTGGCTCCCATCTGATGTGTCAATCAGCAATTGTAAGAGCATGGAGCTCACTTCGCCTTCTGGCTGTGGCCGCAGCTAGAAGAAAAACCATCTCCACAGTCAGGTTCATCAGGGAAGCCCCGGAAAGTGGCTCAAATGGAGGCTTGGCTAACACTTGCAGGACGTTACCAAGATCCCAAGAGGGCACCAGACGACGTTGCGGGGGCCGCTCGATGAACATGCCCTTGAGAAGTTGAGATGCATTACTAGTCGAAACAGTTGAACCATCCGGAAATCCCTTATGGATGGCAGCAATCGCCGAGCGATAACCCCTAATAGTTGCCACGGACAGATCTTGCAAGAAGAGCGCCATTAGAAAGTCCCCAATGGCGGTTAAAGGTGCAGAGCAGGGATCAACAGCTTCCCTTCTGCACCATCTAAGATAATGTTGTACTCTGCCATTGTATGTTCGACGTGTGGACTCCCTTCGGCCCTTGGCTGCCAGGGTTGCAGCGTTTGCCGAAAGGCCTGCTGTTCGGAGGGAAGATTCGACAAAGGCCCGCAGGTTAGTTGGAGTTTCTCTGGGTCTGGGTGAAGAAACCCCGACCCGGGTTGACTCAGGAGGTCGGTCCGCTGTGGCAACAGGATTGGAGGGTGTATCAGTAGGCGGGTGAGCCTTTGAAACCATGGTTGTCTTGGCCAAAAGGGGGCGATCAGTAAAAGCTTTCACTGTTCCGTCTCCACTTTTGCTATCACCCGTGGTAAGAGGGAGATTGGGGGAACGCGTAAGCAAACATGTTTCCCCAACTCAGTGAAAGAGCATCCATTGCCCAAGCTTGTGGGTTGGGAACCCAGCTGCAATACACTGGGAGCTGATTGTTCCGGGCTGAGGCGAATAGGTCTATGTGGGGCCTGTCGAGTGTTAAGAAGATGCCCTGTACCACTGTAGGGTGCAGCATCCACTTTGTGGGGAGGACTTTGCCTCTGGACAGGGTATCGGTCATGACATTCACCTTCCTGCCAAGTGTACTGCCATCAAGGTTGTAGGAAATACTCCATTGGAGGAGTTCCTCCATGTGTTCATGCATAAGCGGCTGGGCCGGGTGCCCCCTTGTCGGTTGATGCAGGAGACGACAGTCGAGTTGTCCCGACAGTCGAGTTGTCCCGAACAATCTGTCCCGCAGTCTCCCTTTGGAAATAGATCAGAGCTTTCTCCACAGCCAGTAGCTCCAGGACATTGATATGAAGAACCCGTTCTACTGGAGACCAAGTACCGGCGACTGAATCCTCTCCTATGTGTCCTCTCCAGCCGTCGTTTGATGCATCTGTGGTAAGAGTCAATGTCGGTTGGGGAAGAGGAAACCTTTGACCGGATGACAGATTGCGTGGGTTGCTCCACCACATGATATGATGGCGGACCAGGGGGAGCACTGGCACGAGCTTGGACAGTAAGTCGTGTTTTGGCCTGTAGTGGGCAAGAAGGTGCAGCTGTATTGGCCGCATGTACAACCGGCAGTAAGGGATTAGATCTACCATACTTGCCATCAGGCCCAAGAGACGGAGCCAAACCACTGCTGGGGTTGTGTCGGCTGACATCAGCAGAACGGCACATTCCACCAGATTCCCCAGTCGTTCCCGAGTGGGACAGGCTATGCCGCAGGATAGATCCAGATCCGCCCCCAGAAAGGTCGGGCAAGTTGATGGTATGGGATGTGACTTTTCGTTGTTGATGAGAAATCCCACACTTCCTGCAATTTCCATTGTGGTGGTGACTGCTTGACATGCCTGACGTTCCGTCATGCCCACAATCAACCAGTCGTCCAGATAAACAAAGATCAGAATGCTTCTTTGTCTGAGGACGGCTGCCACAACCTTCGCTAACCGCGTGAAAACCCTTGGTGCGGTTGCAAGCCCGAATGGAAGAACGATGAATTTGTAGGTTAGGCCAAAAAAAAAAAATAGTTGGTCTCTGGTCAGCGCGCGCATCGATTTTAATCATGCGCGTCAACCTTTTTTTTCCCAAAATGTTCCACGGTAGCTCCAACAGCACCCTCTATTGCCGCACCTCCTTAAATTTTTTTACCAAAGAGCACCAAGGAATGGGAAATTGCACCAAGGCAAATTATGGAGGACACCAATGTACATGAGGACACCAAAAAACAGCAAAATAGTACCCCACCTTGTCTGTACAATCCAAGCTTGAAAAAAAAAAAAAAAAAAATTGCCCGACGCTTGGTTGGATCGGAGGGCACTGGAGTGGGGCAACAGATTGTGACCGACGGAGGGGTGCTTGTGAATTCCAGGGCATATCCGTGAGATACGGCATTAAGCACCCACCTGTCGGAACAAAAACAGGCCCAAGTCTCTGCGAAAAACTTTAGACGGCCCCCGACGGGCCCGAGATCGGGTGCCGAGATGGGGAGTCTGTCATTATGCCAAGGTCCCCCTCCAAAACCCCTGCCAGAGCGAGGGGTAAGGGAGGACCCTCCACGTCTCCCTCGACGGCCAACGGACCATGGCCGATAATAAGCTGCCGAGGATGTACATGTCGGGGCAGTCGAGGATTGAGCTGTAGTAGTTGTGGTTGTGGCTGCAGCAGGTTGGCTTGTTCGGGGACGAAAGGGCCGTAGTGGTTTGTGAGGCAAACGCTGAAAGGATGCTTTGTTTCCGCCCCTAGCAGGCCGAGATCCTTTAACCTCTGATGACTTTCGGAGGTTTATCTTTTCGGTGGCCTCAATCCGTTTCGCTTCTTCCTCCATCAGTTCTTGAAACTTATTGTTAAATATCAGAACCCAAAAATGGAAGAGCATCGAGGCGCGCCCGCACTCCATCCGAAGGGAGAAAAATTGTATCCAATACTTTCGACCTTCGCACCATTGTAGCGAAAATAGAGATTCGTGTAAACTGTTCCATGCACAGCTGTAAACACTCATCCATACATCGGAAAGCCATTTCAGTGGACTCTGGGGAAACATCAGAGTCAGCTTCACAAGCACAGACCAAAAATTCGGAAAGCAGCTGTGAAAAGCAACTGACTTTCAACCCAAAACGTGAGGCTGTATCCACCTTCGCCAGGGTATCTTCCAATTTGCCACGCACGCGGTCGAGAAAGGGGGATTTCCCAGACGCCCGGTTGCCTCTGTCGGCCGCCATTTTATCCTTGGCTGCGTCCGGGATTACCGGCACCGCTAAATATTTGTCCAGTATTTGTCTGGCTATTAATACGGCTGCCGGACATATTGGGCTGGCCAGCTTTCGGCATTTTCTTCCGGGCTCCGGGCCCGCCGATGGGCTAGCTTGGTGCACTCGGAATATTGGTCGGGGCTTTTTCAGCACCGGTACCCGTGGACAGAGGCCGAACAGGCATGTCGCCGAGCACCGAATTATCGGCCGAGGCTCCCTCGGCCCCGGGACCGGATGACAGTGGCCAAGTCGGCATGTCTCCGAACTCCGAATTGCCGGCCGAATATTTCTCGGCACTAAGCCCCGAGGACAGAGGCCTAGCAGGCATGTCTTTTGGGGCCGATTTGGCAGATTTACTTGCTCGTTTAGTCTTAGTAGTAGCTGGAGGCCTACCAGGCACAGCCCTACCTCTACTCTTGGCGGCAGTGCTGGACAGTGGCCTATCAGGCATGTCAGCAGAGCCTAGTAGAGAAGACTTTTGTCGGCCAAGGGTTCCGAAGAACCACTCCGTACCGAATCACCACCGGGGGAATGACTGCGCAGCCACGCTGAGACTCCATTCCAATCATCGGAAGCCCATCCTTCGCATATCTCGCACGGGTGGGCCCGTGAACAAACCCTACACTTGGGGCATAAATCATGCGCATCCTGCCTGGATCGCGGTTGAATAATTCTACACTTTGTGCAAGTAACAAAATTTGGCGGGGTGAGACCACACCGCGCGCTACTTGCGTCCGCCATCTTGAAAAATACACGAAACGAGGAACGTTAGCAAAAAGTTAACTCTGAACACTGAATTTAATAACAAGAAAATCTGAGGAATGCTGTAACAAACTAACAAGAACTCGATAGAAACCAACAGTAAGTTTAAAGGAGAATAAGCTTTTCTAGAGCTAGAGAAAATTGTATATTGAGAGAGCTTCAATAGAATACGACTACACCTGATCGGCGCTAGAAGAAAAGAGGACGATATGCCGCTTGGCATCATGGGTATCGGGTATTGGCCAAGAGGGCGCTGTGGTAGAGGTAAAATCTAGCAGGTATGGCCTGCGGCCTATAAGGAATAATGCATATGTAGGAATTAGCAGATAAGAGAGGGCCCGAAGTGGACTGACAAATCTCCACGCAGAGGGCTTTTGGGAGTGTTTTGGCAGTTTTAATTTCATTGTGCTTGCAATTATGTACAGGATGAGTAAAAAACAAAAAGGAAATCAAACTGGTGCCCCCCTATTTTGTAAAGAAGTTCTGCACGTAGCTCTTTCCAGATCTAGGATTTGAAATCCCAATTAATAAGCTTTCTTTTAGTTCAATATAAATCATTCAAATCGCTCATGTACTTTTTGAGTTTGGACACAAATGCAGTTTTTAAATTTTGTGCATGGATCACATTAAGGTACGTGATTAGCCTTGGTCAAGGCGCTAGTTGTTATTCATCCCGGTGTAGCGTGAATATCCGACTCCATGAAATGTGGACTCATTGGTAGTACTGCGCACGCGTGAGTACGATACTATGCTATTTTTAGGATCGTTTCGGGAGAGTGACCTGTCACATGCGAGGGATCAACCAATAATAGGGAAATAGGGACCTCACGCGGCCACCATTTCTATGCAAATCAGTTGGACCCAATCTAGCGCCTTGGTTCAATCGTCGGCAAAAGCTTATGTTTTTCTTTATTTTGCGCTGGATTTCTAGCACACGACCTCGTATCCGAATACAGATAAGTGTAGGCGGGGCTAATATGTGGAGTGTCCAATCACACCTTGGTAAATCCGGACGTCATGAAATTATTTGCAGCTATTCGCCTTTTGCGGACGTGACAAGAACCACAGTTTTTGTGCATTGGTGCCGTGTGCAGAGACACACAATGTGTACGTGTATGGATTATGTACGGTGCCACGTTCACTATGCAAGTTTCCACGCAACGATCGACCAATAAGAAAACGAAATTTAAGGTCAGCTAAGGCTATTAACATAATGAGCACCACCCTCAAAACCTCACATGGACGATTGAACCAAGGCGCTAGATTGGGTCCAACTGATTTGCATAAAAATAGTGGCCGCTTGAGGTCGCTGTTTCGCACTGCATTTTTAATGCACTGCTTGCATAGACATACCTGCATGCATAGCGCAAGCGAAGATATCGTTTACTGCGCTACGGCCGGATGAATAACAACTAGCGCCTTGACCAAGGCTAGTACGTGATATGAAGCATGTTGTTTGTTTTAACATTGGAAGCAGAGGGAGGTAAATAATAAGCGCCAGTTATCGTGGTTATTAGAATGTTTTGATGTTGTTTTTTTATATATGTGAATTGTTTTCGTTTTCCTGAAATATCACTAACCTTTATTGTGATTATATCACTGTGTTTAATTTAAAAGTTTATAACCTGAAAAGCTCACTCGTGGGCGAATTCAAGGACTCATTTAGTTTTACTAAAAGAAAGCTAATTACATCCAGATCTTGAAAAATAGGGGGCACAATTTGGGTTTCCTTTTTTTACTCACCCTGTAGAAGGGCAACAGGGCAACCGCCCAACCTCGTCCCCAGTGCTTACTTTATTTCCAACCTCGTTTCCAATATTAAGCCCTGGATAGGCAACTTTCTTCCTGTATCCTGATTCGATACTGCAACTTGCTTGTAATGGATTTATATCATGTAGCTGGTGTTATTTCCAATGTGCATTACTTGTTTTCATGATCGCTGTAATTATAACGTCCACGCCTTCTCAAAAATACTCCTTTCCTTTCCAGTTTGCTCATATTAATATGAAATGTGATACTGCATATTGGCTAACCAAATTGTAACATTTTAACAAAAAAAAAGGTGTTTTCATAACTCCCGGCACAACGAATTGATGCTGTTTTTACCCCAGACACCGCATACAAAAACAACACTAATTGAACGCACATTCAGGCACCAGACTATTCCTCATTTGCATACGTGTTCAAAAATCTTGCACATTCAAATGATCCAATACCAGGGTGAGAGAGCAGGTAGTGGTGGGCGCATACTGCTCGACACCCTGGGGACAAGGTTGGGCAACGGCCAGAAAAGGAGAGTTGGGGGAGACCTAGACTGGACCATCGCAAGTTAAATTCAAAAGCGTTCATCCGCCCAACGATGTCTGACGCTTATGCAAAGATGCTGTTGCTAATAGCTTTGGTACATTCAGGAACTCATGTATACTTCACGCACGAACCAGTACAGTACATTAGGCCAAAAAAATAAATAATAATAGTTCTGCTTCCGATTACATGCCTTTCAAAAATAGGGTCGGTAGGTCAGATTTTTTTTGGGGGTGGGGCCAATTTTTTTATGCAGATTGAATGGGGCATTCAATTATATATGCGAAGTTTTAGCCTGAACTATTTCCATTGCACTACGAAACCTATACACGAAATGGCAACAAAAAGTGAATAAAACCTTCCTTTAATTATTGTCAATATATTTACGTTCGATAATTCTCAAAAATAATGGAAAATTCAGGTCGTTCGCACCATATGCACAACGCTAGTCAAGACGGGGAGGCCAAAACTCTAAGTGTGTGATGCACTGTGCGTGTGTGGCGAGCGGCCCACCATGGGCCGACAGACCTCGTTTTTACGGTCAAAAATGTCGGGAAACACGCAGTGCGATCTCAAAATGAACTCTTGAACACGGAAAGTACATACACAAAAAAGCCAGATCAATTCTGTGAATTGATGTTTTTGCTCCATCGGTGTTTTCTTGGCATTTGTACGATGTCGAAACCGACCAGTTGACAGTGCATCAGCCTGCACTGCTAGTGCTATCAGTCACATAGCTATGGACTGGTTACTGCATGTCTTCTAAATAGGCCCCTGCGCGGCGCGGCCGGAACCAGCCGTCGCCGCATTGATCTAGGTTTATGCACATGGTTATATTCACCGTGACATCGAATTGCGAAGTAGTTATAAATATCGCGAAGTGAATTTGTAAAAATAACGGATGTTTCTTTTGAAAAAAAAAAGCGAATGTAAAGTAAGACAACAAATAAATACAAGCATTTTTTGACGCAGAAAAGATACGATTTTATTTTTATTTATTCAATCATTGTTTTTTGTTTGTTTTTTGGAATTGCCGGTAAAATTTTTAGGGTCGCAGCATAAAAATAGGGTCGGTCGGGTAACCGGAAGCAGAAGTATTCTTTTTTTTTGCCTAACACACACACTGCGTGTCCTGTCCACAGGGCTATCAAACTAGTAAAAACGCGCCCTCTTTTGTTGGTGTACGGAGCCCATAGTCAATCTAGCCTCCCGAGGTGATCGCTTTGAGAAAATGGAATGCTCTGTGGATCACATCGGGAGGCTAGTTGGACTATACCATGAGCTAAAGCAGTCAACATTTACAATTAAAATGTATTTCTATTTCAAATGAAATGAATAGAAAATTTACTTGAACCACCGCTGCATGAAATATTTGAATACATGTGATGCACACACCCATATGCATTTACACACAATATCGGTTGCTATGCCCATAATACTTTGGTTGCTATGCGCATAGTCTTTTTGGCAATTCAAAGCAACATAGCACAAATAGTGAATACCACTCGGCCAATCAAAATACAGAATCTGTAGTTAAGGCGTTATCAATCCCAGTACATGTAACTATGTTTTTGTGTTCTGTTTTCAAGCATGGTAGATGTACATCTATCTGTAAAATAGCATCTCTGAGCATTTTAAAAAGCATTTTACAGTAACTGTTTTCAAGTTGAACAGAGGACAAACATATAAAGCAGAACATTTTGTATGAGAGATTAGAAATACCTACCTTATCATCATGTTCTGCTGGAGGATTAGGAGCTGCTCGTCTTCTTTTTACATGCATGGGAGCTTCCGTATGTTTCTGGAACATCACAAAAATGGTAATCTTTTACTTTTTGGTTGAGAATCAATATAGTTAAAAGTAAAGGTGCATTCCAAAGTTTTCAAAATTTGTGAAATAATATAAAGTGTACGACAGGGGACTTTGATACATGTACAACTTTAAAATGTTGATATCTCTAACATAAAACAAAACAGGAAAATAATGAACAAAAACAAAAAACCAAAATTGGAGTTTCACCTTGAGTTTCAGTATGTGTATGGTATACCAATGTTTACTGTATGTATGCATGGGCTTGGATGCAGTTATTTAGTGTAGTACTCTCTGCACGACCTTAAAATGTCTAAAACTTTTGGCTGTGTCTAAATTCATCTACAGTAAACTCTGGCCAAGTCGACATCTTACAACTCGTCAAATCACTCAAGTCGGCGGTCTGTCTTCCCGATTGTCTGTAATGCATTTCCATTGAATTTTTTATTTCTAAACCAAGTCGCTCAAGTCTTTGCATTACTCTTGGTCCCCTTTCCATGAAAAGCATTACAGAATCCTTTGTGTAAGACGGTATTCAAAATATCACGCATTGGCATCGACTTCCTGTACTGCGGTTGGTAAGAAGTGTCGAGTGAAAAGTGGTATGGCGAGGCCTGTGATCGCTGCATGCATCAATATTTTGAATAAAACAAAACAGAAAAATCCATGCTTTGTCAATGCAGTGGACAGAAATTTGAGTAGGAAATATACAGACAGACATGCAACAATTAACAAGGCATTGTATATGTGTAATTTACACCACAGAAATTCCTTTGAAATACAAACATCAGGTTCAAGTTAGTAACTTAGTATCAAGTTAAGGTTCAAATGTGGAGGTACCGAGGGAGTCTCATCTCCTAGTGAATACTTACCCCTAGAGCTGCTGCTAATATGCATATTTCCCTAGAGGGTGCAGTGCATTAATAAGATGAAGTCTAGGGTTGAGTTTAACAACTCTTGTATTTTTGGGAGTTTGTGAGGTTCTGTGTAAGTTGTTTAACATTGTTCAACAATCTCCAAAATTATTGAGTGGTACACCATTGAAGTAGGCCCATGATGCTGTTGTTGGCCTCATCTCTTGCGCATGATTCTTATCCAATGCACTTGATCAGTTAGATGCGACAGTTATCATGATTTTGTGAAGCTGGTCAATATGGAGGGACTGAAGTGAGGTGTTTATACTCTCCGCTGAGTATTTCATTATGTTGACATACAAATAAGGCCTTTTCACACTATGTACATCTGATCCTTGTCAAAATCTACACAGTTCCAACCCGTGTCGACTCCTTAAAATTTCAACACGGTTCAATTTCGCTACGTTTTCACACTACTCATCGCAACACCAGCGTTTTTGCTACACGTGTAACGTTTCAACCCATGTACTGAGCGATCATTTCACACTTCACACACAGCCGTGTTTTATAGCTCCATGGATGGTCAGCCCAACCACGGACCCCCACTTCATGTCAGTCTGTTTTCTGATTTCGGGCCCATTTTACGTCAGAGGAAAAAAATATTCTGTGAAGTTTTTAGCACCATCGGAATTATATGCGAAGAACACACAAAAAACCAAGCGTGGTTGGCCGCTTCTAGTGCTTAGGAAAAAGCAAGCACGGTCAGCAGGTGTAGCGTGAATTGAGGTGCTATGAAATACAGACTCATTAAGGTATTGCGCATGCTCATGGATAGATAATGAGGAGAGGGACAGGTCACGTGAAAGGGTTTAACCAATAAAAGGGAAAAGGGGTCAGATTTTCATACGAGTCCGATTTTCATATCACACCGGTGGTGGCGCAACAGGGCAGCTGTAGGTCAAAGGTTATTTGTATGTTTGTTGCACGCTAAAAAGTAACAACTACCTGAACTACAGCGTGTGTGATGCTGCATGCACGCACTCATACTCCGATCCGATGAGTCGATTTGCAGTTGTACACGGGTCGAACGTAACTCAGAAGTGTTCATACTACGGCTTTCAACACGTGCCAGACTTCTCGACGCGGATTGAGAGTTCTCAACTTACCTCCCGAGTAGGGTTAGTTTCGACACGGGTCGAGCGCTCTACACAAGTCAGTGCCGTGTTCAAATGTTGTAGTGTAAAAAGGTTAGTCCATTTTACACGTGTTGGACCCGCGTACAACATGGAGATTTTTCGTAGCGTGAAAAGGCCTGTAGTCAAACTCCATATGGTTTCCAAATGATGTGGCCAGGTTCAATTGCCAGGGCATGGAGGAGCTCACTTCCAGGGTGGAGTTGTTGGTACGACCCGTAGAATAGATTGAGGTACATGAGAACATGTAGCTGTTTACCAAATTGGTTCATAAACAGGGATGATAAAGTGGTCTCCTGATAAAATGAACAAGATTTTTCTGGATAAACTTTTCACAGAGGATATGGTTGAATGCATGACAATTTGAAACCGAGGAGCAATCATAAACCTTATGAACCGGGATATGGCTCAGTGACGGTTTTTGAGTAGGGTGACTGTCAGACCAGATTGAAAAGGTGGACAAAGACGTCAATAATATGCCGGTTTACAGTTGTATGGACCTGAACCACAAAGTTCCAGTTCCAAATGCAAAAAACAGTTCCTGCTTGCTGTATACTTTGCTTGTGAAATAATAGTGACTGCTTGCTACACATATATCGTCACCGTCACCATGAAGTGACACTAACATCAAATAACCGATATTTTGCTATTTCGATTTTTTTTTCCTACTTTGTGATTAATTACACATAATCTATCACCTCAAGAAATTACTATACACAGAGATAATTAGTTTTGTCAAAATATTAATTGACATTAATTAACGTTTGTAACTTAATGGGTCAAAACCGGAAAATCTATCACCTCAAGAAATTACTATACACAGAGATAATTAGTTTTGTCAAAATATTAATTGACATTAATTAACGTTTGTAACTTAATGGGTCAAAACCGGAAAATGTGTTTTCACGAAGTGTACTATACCATTCTTTCGCGTGTAAACTGCCTGCACACTACGTGTCCAAAACGGGTTTTGCATTTTCATTAAGTAACACAAATGTCTTGTGATATGCGCGACTCACTTCTGGCATTTTCACAAAGTAGCGCTAAGCCCATAGCTAATACACATGGTAAGCATCACTTCTTGAAAACTCGAACACAGCGTTATCTGATTTTTGAGTTTTCACAATGTGTACTTAGGGTTAATTAGTTTGATAACCCATTAATAGTTACTTTGTTCAATAAAAATCATACATTAACGTGTCATTCAAGATCCCAGCTTTCAGACAATGCAACAAAACATGAATTTTGAGGCTAAAACGATATTTCACATCACCGTTTCAAAACATCGTCAACTTAAAAATCGCTTGTATCTCGAAACACACATTTTCCACTTCGTAGTTTCAGTGACGATATAGGAGCATGCTTTACAAAGTCTACTGCTCCTAAAGATAGCTGGGCATTGTCCACATGTCAGGTGAAGATTACATGTATGTGCTGGATGAATTAAATGTGAAAAACAAGTATGTCCAGAAAAGGCTGAAAAGTTAGTGGAAAGTAAATCAATAGGTTAATTAATCTGGGAAGCCATGGTTGTCATGGCTATAACAGGGCACTTTTTTTGTGTGAAATCAGTGATATTGACAGGGTCACAGTGTGCCACGTTTGGGGATCTGTTGCAGAATACAGGACTGTAAGGCCCCCCCAAAAAATAGTTCTGCTTCCGATTACATGCCTTTCAAAAATAGGGTCGGTAGGTCGAAATGTTTGGTTTTTTTGGGCCAATTTTTTATGCAGATTGAATGGGGTATTCAATTATATGCGAAGTTTTAGCCTGAACTATTTCCATTGCACTACGAAAGCTATACACGAAATGGCAACAAAAAGTGAATAAAACCTACCTTTAATTATTGTCAATATATTTACGTTCGATAATTTCAAAAAATAATGGAAAATTCAGGTCGTTTGCACCATATGCACAATGCTAGTCAAGACGCGGGGAGCTGGCCAAAACTCTGAGGTGTGTGATGCGTGCATGTGTGGCGAGCGGCCCATCATGGGCCGACAGGGTCAACAATTTCGGGAAACACGCGGCACGTATCACTCCAAATACAAGTAGTGCGATTTCAAAATGAACTCTTGAACACAGAAAATACATACATAGACAAGCTAGATCAATTCTGTAAATTAACTTGCAAAAATGTTCTTTCTCCATCGGTGTTTTCTTGGCATTTTTACGATGTTGAATCCGACCAGTTGACAGTGGCCAGCACTGCTAGCGCGCTATTGGTTGCATAGCTATGGACTGGTTACCGCATTTTCATCATGTCTTCTAAATTGGCCCCTGCGTGGCGCGGCGGGAACCAGTCATCTCCACGTGATTATAGTCACCGTGATATCGAATTGCGAAGTAGTTATATCGCAAAGCGACTTTGTAAAAATAACGGAGGTTTCTTTTGGAAAAAAGCGAATGTAAGTAAGAAAACAAATAAATACAAGCATTTTTTGATGCAAAGGGTTGTTGAGAGGTATTTTGTGAAGACAGAAAAGACAACAAGATTTTATTTTTATTTATTCAATTTTTTTATTTTTTTTGTCTTTTTTTTTGGAATTGCCGATACAATTTTGAGGGTCGCAGCCTAAAAATAGGGTCGGTCGGGTAACCGGAAGCAGAACTATTGTTGTTTTTTTTGCCTAATTGCGAGTTGCGTTGGGATAGAAGAAGAAGGCGTCGGGATAGAAGAACGGCTTTTCTGCCAACAAAAAAACAACCAACCATCCAACCATTAGCCTGATGACCAATGCAAATTGTACTGACCAGAAAAATGGTGTAATACATTTGTTTTAAAACCTCACCTGTGACACTAATTACGTTAGGTTTGGCTGCAATACTCACACAAATAGCATCTCCTACAGATTTACTGCGCACATGCTTACGGGGCCTACTGTATCCTTCTTGACTTCTTAACAAGATGTCTTCTTTAACTCGTGTAGGTGTTCCTGGCATGTTGCAATTCTTAGCAAACTAACGTGAAAAAGACAAAAATGATTTTAAATGACTGCATTTCAAGGATATGTTAATAACACGGAGTGGTTCTAAGTTTAACCCCTTAAGCACGGGTTATAATGGGGACATTCCTCCACACATAGAGCAAGTGGCCCACATGACTGCACAGCCTTTGTGTGGTAGCGGGACTGCACAAAAGCAGCAGCTGTGGAACTACCCACTAGCCCTGTGCCACGGCATACCACAGCTGGCAACTGCATTCCAATGAGGATTAGCGGCCGCGGCCATGACCGTTTCCCGTGCGCATGGGGTTAAGCACCCATCCACGCTGGCATTTATGAGTTACACTCAAACAAAAATGTTTAAGGAACAATTCAGGCCACTCTAAATAGAAATTGCTTTTCGACTGAGATTGCCACTTTTATGCATTCATTTTCATTAGCGAGACTCTGGAGTCGGATGCCACACACCATCCCACGATACATGTACATGTAGGTGTAGTGTAGTGTGTGTTGTAGTGTGTGTGGGTGCACTCACATGTGTAGATGGTTAGTGCTCACTCGACCCCAACATGTACCTTCGACTCCAATTACCGACTTGAATAACTTGTTCTTGGCTTTGCGCACATCCCATGGGACTTGCCTCTAGATTTTGAAGGAGCAGTCTGATTGGTTAAGAATCAACAGAATATGAATATTCGTCTTTATACACCTTATGCAGCTAGTACCAGTATGCGTCTAGTGCACACCATGCCATGTGTACCGGTACTGTGCATGGAGCATGGGGCATTCTCATTCTTCAAAATATCAAAAGCTTTTCCTGAGCTGTTAAGTTTCATTTTCATATTTCTTAATTTTATACTTAACAATTGTTGACTGCTGTGATGTGGGATGTCATTTTTAGAAACACCCAAGGGCGCATAGCCCCCCTCGATTTGCTTTGGATGCAAGGGCGTTAACAACAACATACCCACATAAAGACAAGCCATGTGGCATGAGTTTTCACCACTGATCTCTATATAAAGACTGGATAGCGGATATCCATACACCAGTCACACAGTAGACTTTGTATATTGACCACTTCGCCTCTGGTCTCACGAAGATGGCCGCGTATATTACAAACGTTCTACGCGTACATACAGCGCGCGTTGTATTAACAGATGACGCGCATTTTGGTCACGTACACCTATTATGATGTTCTAAAGAGGACACATTTCCGTAGTGATTATTATTTCCAAAACACAAAAAAAGTGAACTGCGGCATTAAAAAAAAGTAAACCACGACGTTAGAAAAATTGTAAACCTGTTGCCAGTGGTGGTGGTCAATATAAAAGTTAAGTGAACTGCGATGTTACAAAAGAAATCACGCTGTCTATAAAAAAGGCAACTTGTCCCTTGTAGATCACCAAATGCGGTCTCACCGGTCTCACCAATATGGCATCAAATTCATTCATTGTGCGGCTCCTTATCCAGTCTTTATATAGAGATAAGTGGTTTTCACCCTTGGAAAAAATTTCACTAAATCAGAAGTTGCCTACATGTAGGTCCCCAGCTGAATCCAGGGGCAGTACAGCCCTATTTCCCATACTTTACATCTCTCCAGTCATGGATGACCGAGCACCATTGATTGCAAAACAAAGGCAAAGGCCAAAAAAAAAAAAGTCTCCGGTTTCTGGTATGCGCGCGCGCGTCGCCGTAGCCATGCGCGTCGGCAAAATGAAAAAATTTTTTTTCAATACAAGATGATGTCTCAAAACCGCCAAACTCACTGGTTTGACTGGTATCCTGCTTTTAAGGTGTTTTTAGATGGGGTTATGATCGACAATAAGCTTTATGTGGCCTCTCTGGACTCCCATATATTTACACTAAGTTTAGTCGGGCACCATTTGCAGTCATCAGCCGACATTTGAAGCCCCCCCCAAAAAAAAAAACAGGTAAAAAAAAAAAAAAGCCGCGTCGCTGCACCACTTTTGGGGCAAGCTCCATACCAGAAACCGGAGACTTTTTTTTGGGGGCCATATAAACCTCTTTTTTCAAGTTTGTTGATTAAGTGGTGAGATGTTGAAAGAATGCGCTATCAATGTGGACAGTGCATCACAAAGGGTATGTTGGAGATGTTGCTTAAAATGAAACATAATGTTGTCCATAAATAATTATTCATTCCAAAGATTTCATTTTTCATCACAAATTTTATAAATCTTTAAAACAATCATAGTAGTAGGCATAGCCATAGCCATATCAAGTTGGGCCGACACCTTAGCTATGTTTGGAGTTCAATCCTAAAATTCTACTGAACCTTAGTGTTATAGCGAAAGAGATCATATGAGATAGCATTTGCTGCAGGATTGTTTTTTGGGGGCGCAAATTGAGTTTACGTAATTACAATTCCGTAGAAACCCAATCAAACATCGTCATTATATCGTTTATATTTTAGGATTCTACGTCACCGCCAACAAGATATTAAGAACCAGGTAAAACAAAACTTGGTTGTATACAATGACAATATATCATGACCTTGGCGCTTTTTTTCCCACAGACATACTTATTATTGTACATCACATAGAACATTATGCAAGGTACGTTGAGACATTATCTTTACATAACTGCAATTGCATACAGACAGTTTTGCTCAACAGTATGCAAATAATGGAATGGAAAGGCGGTAAAACCTTGCAGCTAAACTTTCCTAAGGTTTTGTTGAAAAAGCAGCAACTTTCTCTATCAGTTTGTTGTAGAACCGAGCGAACTTGGAAGACCCAGACCAGCCAGCCGTGGCCAGTATGGTCTGAATGGGAACACCACAATTACTGGCTGCTGATGTTGAGGCTGCTCGTACTCTGTGTGCTTTGAAGACAGAAGCATCAACGCCTGCGTCATGTAATCAATGCATTTTTAATCCATCGACTGATGCAGAGATGAAACTGGCATTAGCAAAACAAATCGGAAATTTTGCCCAATCAAAATCAGTGTCGGAAATGTGTGCCTGACCGCAGTCCCTTCATGTATAATTTCACTGACAACGATGTCCACAAGAACGATGTAAAATCTAAAAACAATCTCCCTGGTAGATGCAGTTTTCTACTGTACGTTGAGAAATAGTCCCCGTTGTTATCTTTTTCCTCCAACCATCACCACTGGAATTAATCTTTAATGCCTGTTTCTATTTTGGACAGATTATCCTCGCGTTTGACCATCCGTAACATTTTTGCAGCGGCTATTGCATCGAACGTGTATATTGTATGCATGCACGCACCATGCACGATGTTTGTGTATTGTGTGCCGCAGTGATTTTTCCGTGTAAAAAGTCAATGTTTAATCTGTTGTCCAGCCGGAAAAGGGTCCTATCAGCATTGGCCTAGTTGTTTCTACCGTAGAAACACCCTATTTGCGACTGGTGAAAGAGATTAAAACTACGCTCGCGATTATTTTTACGTGCCGTTTTCATTAACTTTTCTTTGCCTTTTTTTCGAAATTATAAATCACATTTTGTGGAAAAATCGTTACAAAATCAAATTTGTGGGACACATTGTAAGAGAATTGGACTCTATTTTTAAAAACCTCAATATTAGAACATTCTACAGCCATATATTTTTTTTTTTGTATGAGAATGTATTACCGGTAGCTATTAGAGTCCTACCACATATATTTAACAATGTGCAGTGTATTGTGTGAAGTAGTGGGTAGGTGGTATTATACAAATACAGCTTGGTTTGAGGGGAATTAGTGGGAATAACTGGTCCCAATGTGTAGGTCAGCTTGACTTCCTCCCGACGCAAAGTTCTTCTTCAGTCAATGAAATAGTCTGGTGCCAACGCTCTTTAAAGTGACTTCACTGCACACAGTAGTTACAAGGACTACAAAAACAGACTGGTTCCGTAAAGATTTCATGCCACAGACTTCATGTTCCATGAGGTGGGTTCCAGAGGGAATTTTTGGTGCAACCAGAAAAAAACTACCGCACGGCAGCGAGCTGGATACTCACCGGTATGACGTCACCTGGGCGCGTATCATTTTTACTTCCCGGACACGCGGCGGAATTGGCCAATGACGCGCTCCAATTTGGTCATAAATATTTATGAGGTGTAGTAACACTATTAACTGACATAACGAAGTGAAAAGGGATCTGGCAATTTCTAGGGAATGCCCGAAAAATCATGAGCTTATGGCATGTTCTCAAGAGGAAACAAATTACACCTCTATAGTGATTTCAGTTAACTTTTAATCAGTGAAAATGACTAATAGGCTAATGGTTCTAAGACCCTATTAGACCAGTTTTTGCTCTCATGCTCTAATGGCAGAGCTTCATCAATAGTACATGTAAGTCAATACCGGTACTTCATATTCGACAAGTCGTGCCAAATAATAAAATGCATCTATAGATCAAGTGCATCTAAATAAAATGTTAACCTTGTGATGAGTCCAGTTTCCGGTTATCGATAAACCTTGATTTGGCAAGTAAACCTTTCAGATTTTTTGGCCCTTTTATCATGTTTACAGGCAAGAATTGGTTTGCTGGGTGTTCCAGAATTACTATGTTTGTTTTCATGTTTTTTACATCAAAATCCAAAGAATCCAAGACAGGGGTTGGCCTCAGGTGCTTCAAGACGTCATATTCCACATCACAGCAGTCAACAATTGTTAAATATGTACATACCTGTTTCATCAGCTTCCTCTTCTTTGAGCTAGGCGGCATTTCTTGGACACTGGCATAGAGCTGAGCAAGTGCAGCTTCAGTCTGGTTTTGTTCCTTCTTCACTTCAACATTTGGTGTTTGTGGAGCACCAATAACAAGAGCAGTTTTGGATTTACTGTCACATTCATCCTAAGCAAAGAGGCAGTGACAAAAGTAATTTCAAATGCAGACATTGCAAAGTGAAATTATGTGGAGCTGTGAGAAGGTAAGCTCTCAATGGTTAAACAGAGAGGGTTAGATTCTTAGCTGCCATGCCTCTTACCCCCTCGTAATGTCTTTGCAGGTTTGTACATGCGCCTATCAAATGTCATGTGTCTTTGCAGGTTTGTACAGTATTATGCGCCTATCAAATGTCATGTGTTCCCCCCCCCCCCCCAGCCCAGCCCCAGGTCCGATGTCGGGATTTGGTCACGTTTTTCATGCCCCAGGGTGGGGATTTTGGTCACTCAAATTACATTGTTACCATTGGCATGCTGCACAGAAATGCATTTACTAGTGCGCCTCACGTATGTATGTCGGGGCATGGTCGGGGATTGTCACTTAAATTTTGCCCGAGGGGTGAGGATTTTGTCATTTCAAAAGTGACAATCCCCACGTCTCGGGTGGGGCAGCCCGGGAGGGGAGGAGTGGGGGAAACAATTGATAGGCACATTGTACAACACAATTTTTTTTATGATCCTGGTGTGTTCTGGGCATAGAGTTATCCGAGAGTGGTTATGAAGCTTGAAAAGGGAAGCACTTTTTAATGTAGTCGTTTGTAGTCAAGTCATCACAAGTTAACAACAGATGATACAATTTCAAGAAAAGTACTTAGGCCACTTTTTTATATTTTAATACTTGGATTACGGAATCACCGCTGAAAAAAAAATGGAAATTGGAACAAAAATAAAAACAAAACCAAAACTAGAAATTGTGGTTGTGAACAACCACAGAGCTGTTCCCAATATTGATTATCTGTTGGACCAATAGACATATAAGTAGAGATCTATGTCTGTTTGCAACAGAAGATAGGGCTTTCCGCATTATGATTTGTTTTTATCAACGTCCCTGACTATCACTATGCATGAACATAAAATCTGTCAAAGTTAGCCGGAAATCGGCTAAAACGGTCACTGTGGACAGGATTTGACCTCAGCAACACGTGCGCTGCGCGCGGGCTGACCGACATACGATATGTACAACGTACGATGTACGTGCATGTACATGTACATTGTGGACGTCCTGTGCATGTTTTAAAGCAGAGGTATTGTCAACCTGAAGTTTTAAGCGTGCGCAGGGCATGTCCGAGTTTGCTTATTGCCTCGAAGCTTTGAAATGTTTTAGACCTACCCTTAAATAGACAATTAAAGTAAAAACTAATATAAAAACTGCCATGGTTGATTTTTCAGGAATTTTCTAAGGAAAAAGGGTCTTTTCATTATAACTTCCGGTCTGATGACGTCATACACCTAAAACTTCGCACACGTCTTAAGTGGGTCAAGGTCATCATATACACCAATATTTAGGCGATTCCGACAAACTTCGCCACAGACATCTATTCAAAATGCATTTTTGAAAATTTTCAACCTGTCGCTAGAGGGCGCTCGAAGATTGCATGACGTCATCGGTAGATGATTTGAAGAATACTGTCAGCCAAGAGACTAACACCGTTGAAAGCAAGTTCATATCTATTACCACTTTTAAATAATAAGCCACTTCCGGTTTTGGCCTTTTTCGACCGGAAGCAAGGGTCACGTGATATCACGCACACTGAATGAAATAAAGACCTCAACCTACTCTACCACTTGCCGGCAACAGAATGCTGCGGACGCGTATGGTTGATTTCTTATGCATTTTTAAAGTTTAAAAGTGTCACAATTTAATTGCCTATAAATAAACACCGGAGGACGTCATCATAACGTCATCATTACACAATGTTGTTTGATTTAGGGTCTTTGCTTGGACAAAGATTGGTGTAAATGAATTACTGGCAAAGAGTTGAAAATGCCCTCTGAAAATTGACATTTTTTAAAAAAAATTGTGTACAAAGTCAATGGGAAAAATTAAATATTCAAAATTCTATAATAAATCACGTGATGACGTCAGCATGACGAAAAGTTTCGGCACACATCCTCAGATGATGGTTAATAACTATGCTGAGTTTAAAGTTGATCGGATTTAAAATAATTGCCAAAGTGGCTTGTACTATAAAAACGTGTACAAAACCTATGGGGAAAAGTGGAAAAAGAAAAAGAAGAAAAAAAAAAAAAGGAAAAAAAAAACTTTAACGAAAACAAGAGCTGTTCCCAATTGAAATTAGGAACAGCTAAAAAAGCCGCCCCAAAATTCTGTTTTTGAAGACACAAAAAAAAAGTGGGGGGGGGCGGGGAAGGTGCCTTGTGACTTCAGTGATCAAAAGCTTTTGTTTACTTTCAATCCAGAATTCCAGCATCTAGCCGGCTCAAAAACTGAGAAAGGAATCACCATACATTTTCACATGCCTTGATCCTTGGGCTGCATGCTCATACTGCCCCTGCATGTTTTATGTTCCTGCACTGGTTCCCTTCACTAAAAATATCTACATGTAAGGCAGAACAGCTCGGACAGAAACCAGCTGCATTACCACCAGTGGGCCACATACGCGATGTCATCCATCATGTATCAACAAATCAATGCACACATGTATGATTTTTGATATTTAGCAACGAAAACAACATTAGGAGCAAATATTGTTTGGAACAAGATAACAAACTTGAAAAAGAAGTCTGCAAACTTGATTCCTCCTTCCTTATGTACTTTTTCTGTGATTTTTTGTAGGTTTTGAAGTTTGTGTTGATACAAGTCATGCCAGTCAACATGGCATTTTATGCTGCGCATGCTGCACTACTACTACTAGGTTGATTGCCACAACACTCTCTATACAGGTGTGTTGTCCGTGCAAAATTGTTCTCTTTTTTTCCCAGCTCAATATAATTGTAATTTAGTTTGATAACTTTATCCGGCAAAGTCTGACCTGTTCGTGCAATAATGAACATAGAAAGATAAACAGTTTCATGCAGTAGAACTGAATGACAACATTTTGTTTGAGCACTTTCACGTCCAATGGTGCACCATTATGGGCGTGCTGTAAAGGCCATCCCCAAACATGTTTTTTGTGTGTGTGTATTTTGACTAACCTGTGGCTGCATTTGGTCAAGTACTGCTGGTTCTTCTTCATCTATAAGCCTGCCATGTTTAATATACTGCTCACATCTTTTCAACATCTTAGCTGGCACCTTTAATCAATTAAAAAAAAAAAAGAAGTTTTTTATTGATATCACACAGCTACAAATGTAACTTGAGCTTCTGTCCAGGTTATCCTTGATGACAGCAGATTTGAAACAAAGGCTTTTCTGAGATAATAATATGAACCTTAATAAAATGGGACTGGTAAAGGAAAAGAGGAGAGTATTGGTCTTCAGCATACAACCAGACTGTTAAATGTGTACATTCATAGTTGCAGACCAGTACAATGGCCCACATTGTCTCTGTCTTCCGGTGAAGTACACAGTGCACCATCTGGTGTATTGCATACTGCGATGGTTGTGTGCATGCAGTGTGAGGATACAGTGCAGGTGATCAGCTATCATCAGTTGCTACTAAAAACAACTCAGGCTGTTTTAGTGGAGCTGGACTGACTGCACACCCTGTTTGAAGCTTATTGCAAGTGATGTGCAAAGTCTGATACTATCCAGAAAGAATGCCTGCTGATACACCCCAGTCCTGGTGAATGAATGGTACTAGGTACAGTATCTGAGGGCAAATGTTGGTATCAGGTAGGTATGTGGGACATCAACCAGGTTGTTGGCGATTTGATACATCATCGCTGCTATGGCCTGTGCACGCCGTTCTTGAAGGGTGGGCCACTGGAGCTGATTGATCATGGCAGTGACACTGCTGGTGGTCCTGTAGTCCCCAAACACGAAGCTTGCATAACGCCGTTGCACCATCTCCAGCTTTTGGATGTTGCTTGCTGTCAAGGGGTCCCATATGATGCAAGAGTATTCAACTACAGGGCAAACTAAGGTTTGTAGCACAGCTCCTTTGTTTTTGCATGTGATGTCAACAATTCACAATGTGTATACCATCTATTTTTCTCTTCATATTGACTTTTTAGGGTTTGTAGAAATGTAGCGACCCAGATCTGAAGCAGTCTTTGAACTTGAACTTCTTTGACTTTGGAATGAAAAGGGAGAAAGAACGTTGCTCTATTTTTCAAAATGCGATGGGCTTCAGGAATGACTTTTAGGAAAAATCACCTACATTGTGAAAGGTATTTTTAAATCTTAAATATTTAACAGAAAGTAAAAGAGGGTCATTTCAGCTTCAATTTGATGTACAGTATGTATTGATAGCTTGTGGGAGTTCTGAGAATTTGTTCATTTTTTTTTTAAGTGAGGCAATTTATCTATGGGATCCTTCAAAGTACAGTTATTTGCTGTATACTAGGCAATAACCCGGCTTTGGCTATTTGTAGGATGCATAGAGTTGCTCGATGTTAAAGAACTATGCAACTGACATTTCCAGGAAAATGCTGCTTGGATAATACTGCCAGTGAACATTGCAGTGTGTGTCTTCCAAGATAATCACATGATCACATCGATGCCACAGCTTCAGGAGCTCATAATTCTGTTTCCCTGTTGCGCCTGAAACCATCCGGCCGATTGCGACAGCTCAGTCGACACTGCGTTGTGATTTTGCACCGCGAGGTTGTGGTTTTCAAATCCTCCGTTTTGCACCCAATTTTTTTATTTTCTAACCTGAGGCTTCGGAGGATTTTTTTCAAAAAGGGAATAAAGTCAAAATTCCATATATTTATATATTATAGATTTTCTTCTCATGTTTTCAGAAAAGTAAAGTCCAAAACTCTATAGCGTCCATGCGGATGTCGTTTGGGAGAAAAACAAATTTCCGCCAGGCCGACTCTCTGGCGAACTAGATCAAATTTTCCTGCACGTATTTTCCTGACTCGTTCCGTCTCTTCCGTGGTTGTGCCCGGGCACTTAACACTTGCTTAGTGCCAAAACTGTACCAAACTTATGAAATCATTTCATATTTTCAGCAACGAAAAACGTCGAAAACCAACTGACCCTGCCGGGCTTCCAATGCAAATGTCTTTGACGTATGGTCAGTGCGCTGACTTCACTCATGCATTGGGCTGTGGCTGCCGTCAGGAGGGCTGTTTGCAAGTAAACGTTCAGAAGAGTAGTTTGGCCCAGCGATTCAAAAGGGGGCAGGGCGAGAGCTTGAAAGACCCGCCCAAGATCCCATTATGGTAGGACTGTCCGTGTCCATGGGGGGGGGGGGGGGAAGCTGTCGAGAAACACTCATACCCCTGAAGAGGTGCATGAGGGTGGTGCAATCAGAAATCCAGCATGTTGGAAGCTCGCCGGATTGGGGTGAAGCAGACCCAACTGAAGCTCACAAAGAATGTGTGACCATTGTTCGAGGATGAGCGGGGCATGGTAGAAAAGGGGGAGAATTCGTGGAAACCACGGCTGTCTAAGCCATATGGGGCAACCAGGAGGATCCTGCATGCATCCTGCATGATCATCCTGAGTACACGTACTTTGGGTAGAAGGAAGATCGGGCAGAAAGTGTAGTCAAACAGAGTGGTCCACACAAAGGAGAGGGTGTCAGTTCGCCACGCCTTGGGCTCCGGGGTCTGCAACAGTACACTGGGAGCTTGCGGTTGAGTAGTGTAACAGGTCAATATGCGGTCGTTCCAACTGTGAGAAGATCATCCACGAGGTTGGGAGCATCAACTCTGTGAGGCGAACCCAGCCCCGCAACAGAGAATTCGGCTGTGGTGTTGTTCGTGCCCGCCAGATGGACTGCTCTGGGAGAGATTGCATGCTGGGACACCAATGCAGTAGTTGCCATGTGAGTAGGCATAGGCTTGGGAAGTAAGTCCTGCCTTGCCAGTTGACACACTCAAGTTGTCGTAGTGGATGAGATCAGATTAACCCTGCACCATGCGTTGAAAGCGGTGAAGAGCATTGAAGACCGCTGTCAGTTTGAGAAAATTGATGTGGAGGTTGGTCTGTGCTAAAGTCCAGGAACCCACAATTTGGCTGGGGGTTGGGGATGCACTCTTGAACTCCAGGCAGTAGCTGAGTGGAACGGTGGGTGAGTACCCACCGGTCTGAAGTGATTTGGTCCCAGGATCCAAAGAAATGGGCCAAATGGGATCGCATGGGTCCTGCTATGGGGAAACGTTGCCAGTCACTTCCGCGAGCCGAGCCACGGCTGAAAGGTGGCGGCAATGGTTGAAAGACGGGAGGTGGCCCATGGCTTTGCAGGGTGTCGAGTGGTGTAACGAAAACCACACCTTGATGGTTGTGTTTGGAAATCACCTAGGACTCCTTTTTTTGGAGCCCTCTTTTTTGGGGGCCCCCGTGGATGACGCGACCTCAAAACAGGGAAAACAACCTGCAAATGAAAAGTAAAACGGAACAATAGTGCGGCAGCCATGCTTCATGCAAAGCCTCGCTCCTTCGGTACAGTGTGAGTGACTTTCAGTCTGTGTAAATGCTCATGCTAACGGTAGTATAGTACGAGCGTATAGTGAGTAACTTGCAGCCCTTGCAAAGCCTCACTTGCTCAGTACGACTTGAGCTACTTGCAGCCAATGCAAAGTCTTACATTAAATAATGGTCGTGTACAATGTACGAAGAGAGTAGCTTGCAACCTGTGGGAAAGCTTGCTAGCTTGGTACGGCGTGAGTAACTTGCAGTCTGTGCCAAGCCTACGGAAAATAGCTGGTAAAAAGCTGTGCAATGGGAGTGAGCGACCAGCAATCTGTGCAAGTGTTCACTCCTGAAAGTACCAATAATGACCAAAGAAATCTCATAAATAACCTACCAAAGTTTCACAAAATATTTAGAGACAACAAATAGAAGACCAATTAGTTGAATGGAAACCATCAACTATAATGAATGGCTGGAGAAATATGAAGTATGAGCAATCCAGACCTCGGAAAAATATATCTTCCACGTAGTGCCCCTAAATCACACAAAAAAACAAAAAACAAACAAACAAAGCGAAAAAAACCCAAGAAAAACACATATATTCTTAGCAGCCAACATTTTTCAAATTCCTCACCTTGAAGATTTTGTGATACTGAGTGATCATAAACTCTACGCCACAATTGAGTTTGTTGACGAGAACCTGATTTCGAAGATCTTCAGTTGTCAACTGAAACAAAAGTACAAATGAAAATTTCTGTTTTGAGATTCTTCTCATTATAGCATTCTTTGATTTGAGATTCATAGAAAATCTCGGAATCAGTACTACTAGCCCCCCAAAATGTTCTGTTTAAGGTAATCCTATTTTTTTTCACATTCATACTATGTGTCCGTGTTACATTCGTCTATTTTTTTCTATCTATCTAGAAATAACTTACATCACAACCACAAGTCAGTTTGTTAAGGTTATTAATTCTTATTACTGTCAATGTTGCAATATTATGACTTGTTTATTTATATCAGGCTTCCAAGTGGTAAACATAAATCAGCGAACTGTAACCTTTTGTACAAAGTACCCGGATGACGGCAATGTTATGTCAGTAAAAGTACCCATTATTTTGATATTGTGCTCATTCACACATTTTGCTGGTTCCCGCACAATCAAGAATATATTGTTTGTGCAAACAGCCAACAGAGCATAGCACATGGTACCATTACATGCTGATGCAGTGCACAAAGGGGTATCCGCGAAATGCTGTCAACAACCACAATGACAGCTTTGGGTGGCGCAAAATTTGCTTCGCTATTGCGAAGAATACTTGACAAAATATGAGATATAAAGACAGTGTCCTGAAATGTATTTCTTGTGGATCAAAGTAACCCTAATGTAAATAATGATATTGGAAGGCTTTTTTTGGGGGGGGGGTACACATGCAATATTGTCATAGCTTGTGCAATATATGTGATGCGATAAATGAGTCGTTTGTCGACCCTGGTCAACATTTTTTTTTTTATTATTACAGATTTGAAAAGAACACAATCTCAGCATTACTGCTGTGAAAACCGCATGCTGATACCACCTTAAGTTAAAAATTTATGGGAGTCAGAACACCAAGGGATGTGATGAAGTGGCCCTATTTTGGCCTGTATCGCCAAATGAAAATTCCCGACAAACAACTCATGTAGATCGATCACATCACATGCTTGTATCCTCCCAAAGCCATCCAATATTATAAGTACTTTATGCTACAAAATATTTATCATTTAACATGTTTAAAGGCAAACCTGTTTTACAAATTAAAGTCCCTAATCCTCTCTCGTTTTATACTTACATATCTTGGCCATAGGATGTGTGGTGCGAACATAATGCCCAGGTTAAAGGCAGACATCTTATTCAGATTTTCCTGTTCAGTGATGCAATACAGAAGCTCCAGAATTTCTCTCAACGTTTTGAAGTTGACTGGTGGAAGCATGAGGAAGAGATATCGTAATGCTGTAATATGGTCCTGGGTGTTCTTGGCTTGATACCTCTTCCCAATCTCTTCTGTCAGACTTTGAACTTGATCCATTTCATATGTCAGACCTGGGAAATTGAGATTAGTTGAAGGACATCAATGTATCATGTCCAACCAAACTTGAATCATCTGTTCTGGTTAGTGCCCAATAAATGACCATTTGACTTGGAGATAGTCTCCACATACACAAGCTTCCATAACAGGCTACCGGTACATGTATGAGCAGTATTTTGGTTAAACAGGATGTGTGTCAGTATGGACCTTCATTTACCAACAAACTCAGAATAGGGCCTTTTTGTCAAAATGTGCTTTGAATTCTAGTTATGTTTATAATACATGTATTTTGTGAAGCAGTTATGCAAAACCAACATTGGAAACAATTTCATTTCCCTCCACGTTTCTATGACTTTCATCGCAAAAAAAGGACATTCATCATGATAGCTCCTTGACATCATATGGAACTAAAAACAAATTCCAATTATGAGGTTCTGTCTACATATGGGCAATTCCAAGAATTTATGAACCTCACTATTAGAAATAAAACAACCAGCTCAATCGGAATTATCTTGAAGCTGCAGGACAACAAATTAGTGTTCATGCATGAGTCACGTGATTGTGCCATGTAATTTCTGGAAGAAGTGTTTTGAGTAAAACAAAATCAGCTTTTTAACCCCAGTGACCCCATGATGACGTTTGACAGCAATGACCCCAGTTTAGTCAAGTGACATGTTGGGGCTGGGCTACTGATATATAAACAGAAAATACATGTATGTAGAGATCACGTTCTGGGAATTAACTCGCAGAAAGTCTACCATTGCTGCAAAGCCATGATTCCATGTGTGTGGCACTCGCTTGCCGGCGCTTTTTTCCTTCCGTACCACATATTTGCTATTAAAGCATATAGCCAAGTGTGTGACTGAATGGATTTCACCAAGTATGATACATTATGCATCGTAAGTGGTTAAAGATTACAAGGTTATGACTAGCCTAATTGAAGAAAACAATGCATCCATAGAGTGGCCCCTGCTTATCTCCTGGGATTTATAATTGAATACCATCCATATAGTGCTGAAACTGATCCTCCAGGTTTGGTTCAGTTTGGTGAAATCCTTTGTGTAAATCGGCATCAGCATCGACTTCCTGCACTACGGTTGTCACAGCGCGTGCAATCAAAAAGGGGTTTTCCCAGTACCTTCCATGTAATTTCTGGAAGGACCAATGATGCCAAGCTTTAAAATGGTATAACTCTAAAAATATTGGCATTACGTGATTCTGTGCCGACGCTAAAGCCTAGCACAAAAAAAAGAGAAAAAAAAGAAGATTCCAAGGAAAAAAACAGGTACATGTACCTCATTATGTAAAAATCAGACCATCCCTGGAACATTTTAAATCACACTTTAATTCCACTTGTTTCTTACCAGAAGAGCACAGAGGTATTTCTGGATAATGCACTTACATTATAAGAACTGTTTAATGCTCTGTGTACGTTGTTGCAGTAGCGCTACTCTACCGGTTAATTGTCACTGTTGGCCATCATGTGTTATTTATTACTTTACTTTTTTTATCTCAGGTTCATTTTTAATTCAATTTATTATATAACTCTATAAAGCCATCCAACCAACCTGTCAAAGCCTGTTGAAGTGGTTTGATAGATAAGGTGACCATTAATACTGCTACAGCTTGTGTAGCAGCCATTTTAAAGAGTGATGCCTTTGTTTGGTTGGAAAGAATGAGTGAACCTTTGCCTTCATTGTAACTTAGGAGCTAAATCCTTCATTGCAGCTATGTGGTTGCAAAGGGCGATTTCTAAAGGTTACGTAACACTTTATTTTGAATGTACACAGACATGTTCACGTTGGCGGGTGAAATCTTTGAAAATAAATTTCTCCAGTTTGGAAGAATATATCTTCATGCAACTTTCAGAATTAATTTTCCTTATAATGATCCAAGTATGTGCTAAAAATAATTGTGATATGTTCATTACTTTTCATTGAAATTGGAAAAAAAGGCCTGGCTACGTGCAATTTTGGAAATGGTAACACCTTAATATTCAAGCCTCACGAATATTAAAGAGGTTCCTATCCTTTACGGAGTGCAGTGAAAAATTAAATAAAAGCCTCCTTCACGAGTTGTTTATTAAAAAAACAAATATCACCCTTTTTGCCGGCTTCCATTGGTCAATACTGAGACCCACACCATGTCAGGCCGAGTGACGCTAAGGCCGAAAAATACTTCTGCTTCCGATTACATGCCTTTCAAAAATAAGGTCGGTCAGTCAGATTTTTTTTGGGGGGGGCCATTTTTTTATGCAGACTGAATGCGGTATTCAATTATATGCGAAGTTTTAGCCTGAATTATTTCCACTGCACTACGAAAGCTATACACAAAATGGCCACAAAAAGTGAATAACACCTACCTTAATTATTGTCAATATATAAATTTACGTTCGATAAGTCTTAAAAAATAATGGAAAATTCAGGTCGTTTGTACCATATGCACAACACTAGTCAAGACGAGAAGCTGACCAAATCTCCGAAGTGTGTGATTCACTGTGCATGTAAGACGCGTGGCCAACAGACCTCGTTTTACGGTGGACATTTTCGGGAAACACGCTGCATTGCATCACTCCAAATACTAGAAGTGCGATCTCAAAATGAACTCTTGAACGCGGAAAATACATACACAGACAAGCTACATGTACAGTAGATCAATTCTGTGAACTTACTTGCAAAAATGTTCGTTCTCCATCGGTGTTTTCTTGGCATTTTTACGACGGTCGAATCCGACCAGTTGACAGTGCACCGGCCTGCTATATGCATCATGCTAGCGCTATCGATCGCATAGACTGGTTACCGCATTTTCATCATGTCTTCTAAATTGGCCCCTGCACGGCGCGGCGGGAACCATTTGTCGCTGCATTGAGCTCGGTTTACGCACGTGATTATAGTCACCATGACATCGAATTGCGAAGTAGTCAATCGCGAAGCGAATTTGTAACAACGGAGGTTTCTTTTGAAAAAAAAGCGCATGTAAGTAAGAAAACAAATAAAAACAAACATTTTTTTACGCAAAAGGGTTGTTAAGAGGTATTTTGTGAAGACAAAAAAAACAATAAGATTTTGTTTTTATTTTTTCAATCATTCTTTTTTGGGGTGGGGGTGGGGAATTGCCGATAACATGTTGAGGGTCGCAGCCTAAAAATAGGGTAGGTCGGGTAACCGGAAGCAGATGTATTTCTTTTTTGGCCTAATGAATATGCTAATATGCCCTTCATCATTGTGTGCCGGGCCGAAATCGGTCAGCCATAGCACCTACAGCGCTTTGCTAAACAATGCACATGGGTTGGGTTGGCAAATAGTTTTTTTGATCCTCTTCGAATTTTCCTTGGAGATGGTTCCATGTGTAACACTAGCGTCTGCAACAACAGATTAAGCTGAAATTCGGAACATACTTAGATGATGTAAGTGTTCAACTACTTGTGAAATAATAACTTGGATAAATTCCTAGAAATTGGGATGAATACATACATTTTGGGAAGTTTTTGAACGATTTCTTCCAGACTTGAAGGTCAACTTTGACAGTAACCGACGCTATGCCTTCGCAACAATATTACAGCACTCACCAGTGGTGACCAACCACATCTATCAATGCCAGTTGAAGCATGGTACCCTCAGTTAACATACATGTACCTACCACAGCCTGTCAATTGTACCAATATATGAGACCAGTTTACAGACCTGTTAAAACCATAGAGCTTTATTAAATTACTAGAGCACTAACTCCTCATTCCTGCGCGCGAAGACACTTTGAAGCCGTTTTGGGCGCAGACATTTTGAATTCATGTGCGTGTTTGTAGAACATAATGAAATTAGATGGATTGAATTTTGAAAGTGTACTCTAAATGCAATGCGCAAGTAGAACGTATGCAAACTTCTTTTTTCTTACGCGTGTTAATAATCTGCAGCGGATATGCGCACGCAAAACGAAACGCTTATTTCCTGATTATGCTTTTCCGTTTTGGGCGTATCTGATTCGATGACACACTGGTATGGAATACAAACGCAGATATGCAAATAGACATACAAAATACGTACAAAATTACAAATAGTCGTAATTCTCCATTGATTTGTGCAAACATGGATGCGCCCAGCAGGCATCACTTTGTACAAGAGTCAGCGCTCTAGTAATCAGGCATGCAACTGGGAACTTGGAAGTCACAAAAAAAAACGTGCCTCATAGCAATGTTTAACTGTATTATGGTAAATAAATTACTATATTCTCTGTTAATATGAACTGACCTGCAGCTTGTACATGAGCAGGATAGTGCCTGTCTGTGAGCAGTGGTTCTGGTAGATCTCCAAGCAATGTCTTCAAGACACAAGCTACATCATGTGCAGTGAATATATCATTCTCAAGGTCGACCAAAAGGCCACAGTTGATTTTGTCTTTTAAACGGCGTTGACGCTCGGAGTTACCAGGTATTCGGAAAATACCTTCCTTTGTAATATCTACATTAAAAAAATATTTTAAAAATCAATAATTTTTTCATCAAAAAACGGTTCAAACATTGTTTGAAAAATTCATCTTATGTATTTCTAGGTGGAAGTTTTATTCTGAACACAACACCCAATTCATCACTATCTATGTTTATAAATGTGGAATTATATCCCAGTCAAGTGTCACTTTTGAATTTTCTGCGTAACCTTCCCAGCTTGGTTACAAGTTAAACACTCGTACTTTTACCCTAATAATTCTTGCTGTTGAACCTGTGAATAATTTCAGTGACATGAAATTTAGTCCAAAATTCAAAACCTGTTGCCAGAAATTGGGCACAAAATCGGCTGAGTGTTCCCTGACGTCATGCACTTGAACAAATCTTGGAAAATCCCACGTTATTGACGTGAACATTTAAGAATTTTGATAAACCATGATTATCTTTAGCCACATACCCGACTTAGAAGTTTGTCAAGAACTTATTAATATTTTTGGGCACAATTTCAAGTGCACTTCGCAATAAACTTGGGAAATCACGCCAAAATAAATTTCTCTTTACTTTGTACTGGGTATGATAACTCAAGATTTATGAATGGGAATGTTTAGAGCCTTATGCAATCTTCTTTACAGTTACTGTAAATTTCCTGAAAGTAATCCGCTTCGGGTCGTTGTATTCAGACTTGTACCAGTCCACTGGACCTGTACGGGAAAGGTCTGTGTGTTTGCTGTTTTAGCTCCTGCCCTTCTGCTGTTAATTTTTTTGAGTTTATACATATATTGGAAAGCATGCTGTTTTCCATAATTACTCTTCCAGTGTCTTTGATGAGATGAATGTCGCAGACTCCCGGTAGTGCTTACTTCTTTTTCGCTGGTTTCATGCAGGCGTGCCTGCGTGTGCCTGACATGCAGAAGCATTGCACTACTGGTAGCATTAGTGGCCGTGGGATTATCACTCCCTAACTTGCCAACTGCCAAATTTTTATTTCCCAACTTCTCTTCAGAGGGAACATCTTCAGTCCTTCTGATTCAAATGAATATCACAGGCGTAAGGAAAAAGGCACGCCTGGATTTTTCTAGGCGTGTGATTTTTCTAGGCGGGTGATTTTTCTAGGGGTGTAATTCTGTGGTCCAACAGGGACTATACAATCTGGGGTTACACCTCTATGTTCCGACACCCCTATGTTCCAACACTCCTATGTTCTGACACCCCCATGTTCCGACTGCACATATTCCTATTCCTAACTTTAACCCTAACCCTGAGTAACACAATCTTATGTGCAAGTTGTCGGAACATAGGGGTGTTGGAACATAGAGCAGTCACCCAATCTGGTACCTTTTTATAATATTCATCTTGGTTAACAGTAAAGCCATTTCAAGAGCTCACAGATGTCATGCTGTAAATGTATGCCGAGGTGTGCAGTACAGAGGGATTCAGGCGTGCGATTATTTGCACTTCTCGGAAAGCTTTTAGGAGTGCGATAGCGTGGGGGTGCGATCGTACAAAAAAACGGCTGCTTGAAAAAATGGAACTTTTTTATGTGTGAAAAAGCAGAGTCCGAGTCTGACACAAAGTCCCCGTTGTCATCTTTATCTTGTTGCCAAGCCCAGTTCTGTTTGTTTATCTTTTAATTGTACTTCTATGGCCTTTAAGCTGTCCGATCCTTCATTCACTTTGACTTTTTCCATATTCCTAATATTTATTCTGCTTACCCGAATTTCCAAGGTAATATTCGACATGAAACATGCATGATTCCACAACACTGATGTCGGTGAACATGACCTTTGCACTACGCGATGCGTTCGACAAAAACATGTTTGGTACCCCGCGTTTTTTGTATTCACATACATCACTGCGATCGGAAACCACCGATAACTTAAATGATAGACTTGATTTCCAGGCTGAATGATACGTGTGCCTAGCGCACAACATGCCCGCACGCAGTGAAGCGTGTGTGAGGCGCCGTTGTATACTGCGTGCCAACTTGTACATTGGCCGCCTGCAGGCTCGGCAACAACAAAGACTGTTTTTAAGACTACTTCAACGAACAAGGTTGTACCGTGCGTGCGCCAACCAGTAAATTTACTTAATCGAGAGGGTTAACAAGGTAAATTCAACCCATTTCCACAATTTTTCTTCTCTTTTTCTGTTTATTTTTACGACCCCAAAAAAACAAAAACAGAATTTTGTGAGATTTAAAAAAAAACACCGGAATTCCAGTTAAAACCGGAAAAACGGCATCTCTGTACTGTTCTCTTAAAAACCTTCTGCATCTTGTGTTAACGATATGGAAGCAATTTTCAGCGGAATTGCCAAGACTTTTCTAATTTTTTACCCCCCCCCCCCCCAAAAGTTTATAATAAAACTTTCCCGCCTGGCAAACGAATGTAATCTGCTTGGTGCATACCCCATGAAATTCAGAGTGGGTATACCCCATATACCGCAGAGGAGCAGTATAGAACCCTTATTCAACTTTGAAAATACTGTAAGTTAAACTTGCGCGATCCCCTGGCATGCCGGCTGTGCTTAGAAAGTCAGTTCTTAAACACACTTTTCACTTAACCTAACCCCAAATCAACAATGACCTCATTTGGCCCCTAGATGACCTTTGACCTCAATTGTCTCAAGTCATCTTAAGTGCCCCTACCTAAAGATTATTGTCACCAAGTTTAATTGAGAATGATGTCTGGCTTTTCATATGACAGCACTAAACATTTAACCTAACCAAACTGGAACACACATACACATGGAGTGAGGGAATACACTATCGCAAAGGGATCCACCTTTCTTGGCTAAAGCCAGGGGGATAAATAGGAGCAGCTAATGCAGAATCAGTTAGAAGCCAATGCTGCAGTGGACGTTTTGTTAATATCGTTAGTAACTTGTGGCTGCTGTAATACTCACAATCCTTCAGGAAGTCAATGAGCTGCCGAGCCTGACGGTAACCTTCTTCTGTCAGAGGGGCACCAAATATTCCACTTTGAGAATTGGCTAAATATTCAAGCACAAACACCAGGAAATAAATTCATTATGCATGTATTTCTCTTGACCATAAGTTACAAGTTTCTCCAGTTACTCTTCATGTGTTGGGAATTTCAATCAAATTTGCAAATATCCCTACTAATTCAAAAATATTGTCACAAAAAACGTATGCACTTTGTTACATTACAAAATGTAATGAACTTGTTAGACCCCCACTCCCTGTACATTCCATTCTATTTGTTGAATATTTACGAAATGCACATTGCCTGAAGAATCAACAAATCGGATTACATACTGTTCTTGGATTATTTAAACCCTAAAAGGAGGGGTTGGGGGTTGGGTGAGGGGCTGTAGAGTGTGGGTGGGATGGACAGCATTCCCACCCCACCCACCTTTCAATATTTCTGCCAAATGTGCATTTCTCACTGTGAACATTCCTGACATTCTAGCAACAAGTCTTGCCCACATTTTGATACCAAATTTAGGACAATTGACAACAGGGTCACCGCACATTATTTAAGCCTGCACACCAGAAAAATATACAGGTACAACAAATGGGTAGTACAGATTGATGTGGTAACAGTTGTGCAATACCTCTCTGCTTGTTTCTGCTAAACTTTTTGACAAATGTCTTTCCCTGGCGCACATCAACAACACCCGCCAGCACCTGACCGAGTCCATCTGATCCACTGAAATCTAGAACATGAGACAACTCTGTGCAGCACCAGTCATTTAGCACTTGAGGGTGTTTATGTCTCATAGCTTCCACATAGTAGAGAGGGTTGCAAAGGTATTCTGCAGACATGGTGGACTGAGTAAAATCCACAAACCTGGTAACATCACAAAATGCGGATACAAAAATATTTCATTATGAAAAAGAAAAAGGAGTTAAGTGGGAAGAGTCACGAAACTGATGAAATGTTTCCAAAGATCAGGAAAGAGTCTACCTTTAAATAGCTGATTACTAGAACTCAAACTCCTCAGACCCTCTCTCAAAATATTGGCTTTGTGAGAATGATGAGAATGATGCAGACATGATTGAAAGCCCTCTCCAATGACACCAACATTACACTTTTATATTACTGTACCGGTATGTGCAGTACTTCAGTGCATGATTAGCAAACAATTCTTTGTACATTTATTACACTCATAGCACAATATTTTGTGCTTCTTGAAGTTTGTGCCCTTGCCGCCCTACCAATTGGACTTAATGCCCAAAGTTTTAAAGCCTCCCCAAGCTTTCTGAGGTACCCGCTAAGCTTAAAAAGCTGCCGCCATGCTTAAAACTTGCCCACCATGCTTAAAAAAAAAAAATAATAATAATAATAAAAAAGACAAACAAGTGGGACTACCCTTACCCTTCAGGGTATATTTTGGCCAGAAATTCTGCCAAAAGCAGTAACATGCAACACTTAATCAGGTCAAAAGTCTCAAGGCCAAACTGCCTCAGAGTCCCTGGTGACTGATGTGTTAAAAAAGATGATGCTGAGCCAGTATTGTACTTAAGTATAGTGTTATTGTGTTAGAAATGGCCTAAAAGCTGTTATCCATACACAAATTACATGTTCTTCTGCAAATAGCACCCACTAGCATAAAGAAATGTATGACTGCAAATAGCGCCCCTAACCTAATTATAGCCCCCCCCCCCCCCCCCCCCCCCCCCCCCCCCCCCCCCCCCCCCCCCCCCCCGCTTTTTGACAGCGCACCGACCTTTAATTTTCAAAGTTGGAGAACACTGAACGAGGAAATCAGTGGTAGGTTATCGTAAAAACGCGGCATTCCGTTCCGTGAAAGGCTTTCATGAATAAGTGGAATTCCATGATACATGTATGCTATTGTGGAAATGCGAAATACCTTGATAGCCTATCACAAAAATGTGGAATACCGCGATAGGGTATCTCAGCAACATGGAACTCCGTGAATGTCCGAATGTTAAAAACGAATTAGTTGGGTCCAAGTTAGCCCCACTAGTGTGGCCTCGACTTGGATCCAACTTATCGCCTATGTAACATGTCCGAATGTTAAAAAAGCAATTAGATGGGTCCAAGTTAGCCCCACTAGTGTGGCCTCGATATTGCTGCGCTATATCTCTGGCCACACGCCTGGTTTTCCCTACTACTGAGGCGCTTCTCAAAAAATTACGCAAATTTTCTTACATAAAATATGGTTGTAGGCCTATACTATGATGTCTCTGCTATTCTCCTCTGGAATGCTGAGGTCAGGTGTCCTAATAATAATATCCAATTTTCTGAGAAATTTTAAATCTTTCTGGAGCCCATACATGCCATATGCCCGACCATCTCCAAATGCCAAATGTTAAAAAAGGTGGTTTGTAGAGTCCTAGTTACCATGGTTACTCGGGCTAGTTGAGCACGCACAGAAAATATTTCAGAGTTATGGATCAACAAGCTCAACTTTTTGGGTAGATTTGTGTTTCAAAAAGTAGAATTTCAGACAAAGGTATTTCGTCTATCAAAGGGCATTTCCAAAAGCCATAGAGTGCTGACCCCCGAATTTTAAGGATCTCAGAAGGCAGACGGAGGAAGCCTTCTGATTTCAGAAGCAACTTCCACCATGTACAAACGCGTCGTCATGGTCGAACTTTGTCAAATTTTGATTTTCACATTTAGGTTTAGTTTGTAGGGTTTTTTTGCTTTACAACTACAAGCATACATTCGTTTGACCGGTTCCGCAATCGCAAATCGTCTGAAGCGTCTTGTGGCGAAAAAACGCGCTTTTACAGCAAGCTACCTATCTATAAATATGCGCAAATTACTCACCTACTTCATGATATGAACAGTTTTCTGCGATCGTTTGAAAGAGAAATTTGCCAGGACATTTTGTAGAGGTCGGTGTTTTGACCGGTTCCGCAAACGTTTTCCGGTTTTGCAAACGGCGCCCTCTGTGAGACTGGACTGAAAATATTCCTTGTTTACTGGCCAAATTTAGATCATTTTTGCCCCCAAAACCAGCCAAGAAAAGATGTGGATTACCTTTCCCTGTGCATGAGCCAAGGTCTGCACATTATAATGCGTCCAAATTTACAAAATGTAACTCCATGAAGTTGTTATGGATCTTTTTTTACGTAATAAATATCAGGTGATAATTATTTGACTTGCTTCAATCTGTAACTTCTTCTCATTGTCTTCTCTCCACAGGTTTCTTCAGGCTTGCGAGCTACAGTGCCTAGGGCGCTTTTGAGGAATCCTTGGTTTCATTACCAGAAATGATTAATAATAATAACCACATCAATTCCTTCCACAGAACCATCAATTCACATCGGAGTTCTCGGCTCACCAAACCCACTTTCTGGATGTCACCGTCCGCAAGCAAGGCAACTCACTAACCACTGACCTGTATTCCAAACCCACAGACACCCACCAGTACCTCCACTCCTCCAGCTGTCACCCCAGGCACTGCAAAACTGGCATAGCGTTTAGCCAGGCACTCAGACTCAGAAGAATTTGTTCTAATGATTCCGATTTCTCCCGCCATACACAGATACTGAGGAACAACTTGGTGGCCAGGGGTCACAGCTCTCGCCAAGTTCATCGTGCCATTGCCAGAGCTAAAGCTATCCCCAGAAATCTAGCTCTCACGGGAAAGGCCCCTGATGCCATGGCCAAACCCATGATTCCCTTGGTTACCACGTTTCACCCCAATCTCCCTCCCCTTCGCAAAATCACTAATGACAATCATCATATCCTCCATACTTCAGATCGCCTTGCCCGCGCCATCCCCAACGGCCCACATTGGCTTACAGGCGTCCTCGAAATCTACGGGACTTGATTGTTCGAGCTGAAGTCCCATCCTTAGATGCATCCCCGCCCACCCAGCATGGTACTTTCAAGTGCAGTTCCAGATGTGTTGTCTGCCAGATTCATATCCAGGAGTCTGACTCCTTTTCTGGCCACTCTTCTGTCACTACCCACAGAACCATTGGTAACATCACTTGTAACACCCCTAATGTCATATATCTTATTTCTTGCAGGGTCTGTGGAGTGCAGTATGTAGGTGAGACTAAGAATACGCTCAAGAAGCGTTTCTATGCCCACCGGTCAACGGTCAACACCAAGAAACTAGACACCCCTGTTGGTCATCACTTCAACCTGCCTAACCACTCCATTTCTGATATGATTTTGCAGGGCATTGAATCCCTTGGCCATCGCAAGGACTCAGTTCGCCTCAGCAGAGAGAAAGTGTGGATGAATTGTCTTCGAACTATTCAACCACATGGTCTCAACATCCAACTTGGAAATGATTAATATTTTTCTTCCTCCATTGTCTTCTGTTACAGATAATCCACCTGGTCTTCATTGTTTGTGTTTCCCCATCTTTCCCCATCTTTCATCCCTTTCCACCTCCATACTGTTCCCCCCCCCCCCCCCCCCCCCCCCCCGCATAATCCCCCTTCACTCCCACACTCTTTTGTCCGTTCCCACTCCCTGTGACCTTTGATCCTTCCCCTTTCTGGTCCCTCCCCTGTTCATACCAGACCCCTTGTGGTTTGCCATCTCCCTTTGTTTCTTTGTTCTCTCATCCACCCTCCCCTGCATCTTTCCACACCTTTCGCACCTAATCCTCCTTTTGTGTTTCTTCTTTCATCCCTGCATGTTTGTGTGCACCCCCATGTTAATGTATGTACCTCTGTCATTTCTGTTTTAGCCTCTGAAGAAGAACTTGCTAAGTTCGCAACGTCAGGCCACATTAATTTGTAGAATAATAATAATAATAATAATAATAAATCCAATGAAATGACTTTCTTGCTTTTTGAGCATTCTGTCATTCATCTTGCAACCACTAATAATATTTTTCTTTTTGTTGTTGTCTTATTCTTATTTAGACACTCTGACCATGCTCTGACTGACTTTGGATAGAACCAGACACAAACCTTGTACTGAATTGCTCCAGTTGGTTTTTTTTCCTCACATAAGCACAGACCAGCTATTTATGAATTTGAATTAATATTTTCTCCAGGATCATTTTATTTCCTATGACACTTAAGGAAGTGACTGCATGGCTGGATGAATTGGAACTGAATCATTGTCTGCAGGGGAGCACTGTTTATTAATATTATTTGTTTATTTAATTATTATTATTTATTTACTTTTGTTTATTCCCTCCCCCTTTTTTTCATTTTACTATTTTTGTGGGGGGGGGGGGGGAGTGTTTCAATTTGCTCAGTGTATAAACACAATATGCTTAATTTTGTGTGCACCAACATCCAATAGGGAGAACCTGGGGCCGGGAGGGGAGGGGGAACAGGCCTCAGCAGGCCAGATACATACAGGCCACATACATATTGTTTCACATTCAAATTAAATTTCACAAACAAATCAAAACAAATTGTTAAAAATGTCATAAATCCTATGGCTGTTTCATAGCAATGGCAATTTCTAATTATAATGTCGTTGGAAAGTTAAAGAGAGGGTTCAGTTACTCCTCATACGTTGCACATATTAACTCTGTACGTGTATCATGCTTGGGCAACTGTATTAGCAAACCTCATCTACCGTTCGGTGATGCTCTTAAAAGAAAATGTCAACACATTCATCAGTTGATCACGTACATCCCGATAACCATTTCAATATATTGACATGTGATACCTGCATTTGTAAAATGTACATGTAATACAAAACTAAAGCACTCAAGAAGCTACCCCTTTTAAATCCACTTCTCTTTCACAAGTACTGGTTAATAAAAATGTATGTAACGCCTTTAAATGTATTGCCTTTATGACACCTGCATAATACACATAATTTAAGCACTCCAGAAGCTAGCACTATATACAAAAAAAAGAACAAATAAATTAATTCAAAGGAATGGTGAT